ATGTTTTTCTACAATTTTTTGCTTAGCTAGGAACAAAGTGATAGTAGTAGAAAATTTTATTCTAATACTACGCGAGATGACTATGTAAAATACTACGCGAAATAGCGCTTAGGTGGTGGAGCTGACAAGAAATCTAAATGACTGGGAGCTGGATGAGTATATCAATCTTTTCAATCTTTTATTTCAACTATAAAAGACCTAATGAAGCCACAGATGAATCAAAGTAACAATTCAGTTTTAAAGAGGTTTTTTTAATGAAATCCTATTATCTCCATCTAACAGAGATAAAAAGGGCTTACCAAAATTTTCCATGAAAACTTGTTTGGCAAAGTACATCTCCTCCCAAAGCAACCTTTTTTGTATAGAAAATGGTAACAAAATGTATTCTAGCCATGAACAATTTGATTAAGAGCCAAAGAGCCCTTGTGAATAGAAGTTACTTCCATAAGATTGATGGAAAATCGATAAACCACTTTTTCCTTTAGTGTTCATTTCATATCAACTATTGGTCTATGGCCTACAGTCTTATAGGGGTTGGATTGATTTAAAAAAAAGATCTTGGCATGAAAAGGCAGTAAAAAGAATAAGCATTATAAAAAGAGCACATACCTTATCTTTCTTGCTATCTTATGAGTTATTTAGAAAGAAAAGAACATAAATACTTTCGATAGCATATATTTTTCTTTTGATAGGTTCAAGAATTTATGGCTCCAAATTCTAAGTTTTTTTATAAAATATCATTTTCTCCATACTTAAGAAAATCATGAGTCTTATCGACTTTTTAACTTATTCGTAACGATTTTGAATACAGACAGTATCTTCCTAATATTTATATGTATTACACTACTTTTTTTTTTTCTAAAAATTTAAACTTTGATAATAACAAATTACATTATTGAGTTGATTATATTTTAAAGAACTAATAATTATTTATATTACTTACTTGACAAACTAATGTATAGTGGAATGGAACTCTTAATTAAAAATAATAAGTACATATTATTTTCTCATATATTTTTTCAAAGAATTGTATATCTTCTCAAATAATGTAATATAAATTTATCACTTATAAAAAAATAATTGATCATGAATTTAGATTAGTCATAATGACATTATTTAATTTGTTGAATTTAAAATATTTTTTTGAAATAGAATTTAAAATAATTTTTATATAATTATTTATATTAACTATATGCCTTCTTAAGTTCTCAAAAATATATAATTTATTTATTATAAAATTTATTAAATCTATATACATAGAAAGTGCCTATAATAATATGTAAGTAACATAAGTTTACGTAACTATGTATAACATTGTCTTCATATAAACATTTGCATCTCTTACCCAAAAACCATGCAAACAATAATTGTTCTATATCTATTATTTTTGTACTAACTATATTGGATTCGTCCAATATCATTAATCCAAAACTAAAAGAAAAAATCATAGATGAAAAAACCACTAAATATTTATATAAGAATTTAATTTATTTATAAAGTATATTTTATTCTATATAGTTTTATATATTTAAAATATTATATTTATAGTTACTTATATAACAGATATATACATATATAAATATATATACATATATAAAATATCCATAGATGACAAATATATGACATCTCTAATGACAGGATATTGATAGGTACCATAATGTTTTTTTTAAAGAAACATGAGCGAAATATTGTTAATGGAGCACCAAGGAGGTGCCATCCGAGAACAAAAACAATAAAAAAATCAAAAAACAAAATGTCAGGTCCTCAATCCTCTTCGGAAAAACAGACCACCTATTAGATAAAATACTAAATAGAGGCCGTAATCCATAATGTATCATGCATGATATAATTGTACTTACAATTACACCACAAAGTAGAGATTCTATGATTAATACTTTTATAGCAGTAATCAGATAATACAATAATTGAAGTTAACAAAGCATAAGACATGTATTAAAGCTAATATATACTTAGGAATGGCTAAACATACGTACCACTAGTCTCGTGACCAGGACAAATCGTCCACCAAAATTTGCAGCTAAGCTCCCCTGAATGTCACAGGAAAAAGAATATTTAGAAAAAAAAAAAAAAAAAAGTGTTTCTGTAAGTTCCTGTTTTTCTACTTCTCACAGCTCAAGAAAATCAAGGGTGTAATTCCTGCTTTAAACACGTGCGAAGGCGGAAGTAAGTGTTATTCAATAACATACTTGATCATCAGATGCAATAAAGAGCAACTAACAAAAATGGCAAAAGGGCATGATATAATTGTTGTACGATATTGGTGGAAGCAAACTGCCACCAATAGTAATGATTTGATATAAAGATCTCTAACTCCAATACCTACAAAATAATAGAGCTAAATATGTTTAACTAAAAACTTAAATTAATGTTTATAAATGTGTTTTATTATGCAATAGAGATAAGAAGTGAGTATAGGAACCTATCAGCAAAATTCTCAAGCATCTGTTTCTGAATTAACAATGGGACTAATTACCTCCCATGCTGTAATGTATTTGTTACGCTGTAGCTGCGATTGGTTGAGATTATTGCTCATTAATGTAAAGTTCACTTCCCTAGCAGTGTTATTTGGCCCTTCAGCAGCAGGTTCAATGTACTTGCACTGGATGAAAAACTTGATTGACCAAGAA